TAGATGATTCATTGTTCTCATTAATACATATTCATTAACACATTCAATAATAGTTCATTATTCTAAATCTTCATGCTCGTTATCCATATCATTCTCATCATGTGATGTGATATTGTCCTCGGATCCAAACTCTTCATCATGCTCTTCGGCCACATTATTATCAACCAACAATACAAACGCATCAACTTGATGTCCCTCAACCATATTATCATACAAAGTTGTAATTTTTTCATCTGCAATCACATCATTAATTTGCTCATCTTCATCAACTTGGTAAGCAACATCTTCCACTAGATCGCCAATTTCAATATGACCCAACGATTTTGTTTTTATTACAACACACCATCCTCGTTTACGTGGTACAAATGAAGGATAAAGAACATAATAAACTTGCCTAATAATATGTGACATTATGAAAGGGTCATACTCTTTGTACCTCTGATCCATTTGAATCTTAACAGTACCATATGACTTTCTATTTTTGTGCCTCTAGTTGGATCATAGAATTCACAATAAAACAAGACAACTTTATTTTCCGAGTCCAAGTAATTGCATACCAAGTCACAGATATTTTAACAAAGCCATAAAAGTTATCTTCACTGCCATCTGTAACTCCTTTTACTAATACACCACTGTTTATGGTTTTTTTTCTCCCTTCAGTCCATGTCTCAGTGTGAAATTTAAATACATTCACGAAGTATGTGTGCCATTCATTTGCGCTTTGAACAAGGACTTCAGACAAGTTTCTCAAATGGAGAATTTCTGGAGGCAGTGCAACAATGCTAGACAATCTCTCCTTAAACCATGCTGGAAATTGAGCATGAATGACATCAGATGTTGATTGTACACCGACACTATGAAAATAGGCGATGCTAAATTCCCTAAAAAGAAACACACTATAAGTTTCAAGATAATATGTTTTATATTAAAACTACAAAGAAAATTAAACAATTGGAGTATACTTACTCAAGATATGGTTTAACTTCAACGCAATTGATCAAGACATGGATATGTGCAGATTGCATTTCTTTTTGGGCCAACCAATGCACACCCTTCTTTTCAGAGGGATGATCTGGAACCCCGAAGACTGATAAGGTGAATTGACTTCTCTTGTTGACATTTACAGGATTCTGTAAGATTCTAGGATTTAACACCAAGTGATTGAAATAATGAATGCAAAATGTGATGTTTCCCGATGCAAGTAATGTGCACATATAGATCCTTTAAATCTAGCTTTATTTTCACTGATCGCTTTGAATCACCCATGAACCTTTCAAACAGATACATCCACATATATTGAATAGTTCCACAAAGATAAGCTTCATATGCAAGATGCACATGTAGATGTTCCATGGAGTAAAAAAACCATGTGGAAATACTTGTTCCAACTTACAGAGAATGAGTGGAATGTTTCGATCCAACTTAATGATGTCATCCACTCTTAAAGCTGACACACAAATATCTCTAAAAAATTAACTAATTTCAGTTAGTGGATTAAGCACATGTTTGGATGGTGAACCAAATGCAATTTGTAGCAATTGTTCCATAAAGATGTGGCAATCATGACTTTTCATGCCATGCAAATTCCCAGTGTTAGCGTCGGCACACCTTGATAAATTTGAAGAATACACATATGGCATTCTTAAATCTTTTAACCATCGACAAACCGCTTTAGCTTCTTGGGAAGTAAGACTAAAACAAGCCTTGGGTTTTAATAACTTTCCATTCGCCTGAGGATTTAACTCCAACTCTTTCTGGTTACACCAAATTTTCATGTCATGTCTAGCCTTCTCAATATCCTTTGTTTTGTCTTTAACATCCATCACTATGTTAAATAAATTATCAAAAAAATTCTTCTCAATATGCATAACATCAAGATTATGGCGCAACAAATTATCTTTCCAATGTGGGAGGTCCCAAAATATACTTCTTTTTGTCCAATTGTGTGTGACTCCATATCCTTCAATTCTACATACTTTGCCAATATCTATAAATTTTGGTAGTACACAAACTTGGTTACATATTTCACCAGGTTACAATCAAGGCGGAGGAAGATCTGTTACTCGTTCATCTTTTTTAAAATTTGTCTTGTTTATTCTATAGAGATGATTTATTGGTAGGAATCTGCGGTGATAGTCAAACCACGAGCTTTTCCCCCCTTTATCTAACGTAAAAGCTTTGGTGTATACCATGCAATACGGACAATCCATTTTACCATGCGTACCCCAACCAGACAACATGACATATGCTGGAAAGTCATTAATGGTCCATATCAAGGAAGCTCGCAAAGTAAAGTTTTGTTTATGGGATATATCACAAGTCCATTCTCTAATCCACAACCTCTTCAAATCATCAATTAATGGTTATAAGTACACATCGATTCTGACTTTTGGACTGGACGACCCTGGAATGACGCACGTCAAAAACATGTATGGTTTTGTCATTCACATCTCAAGAGGGAGGTTGTAATAGGTTACAATAATTGGACAACAAGAATACGCACTTCCCGACGCTTGCACATATGGGGCAAAACCATCAGAGCATAATCCAAGCCTGACATTTCTAGCTTCAGCGGAAAAATCAGGATGTGTCCGACCAAAGTGCTTCCATGCCTCGCCATTAGATGGATGTCGCATAGTGCCTGAACTTGTTTAGTTTGTATGATGCCATGTCATTTGAATTGAAATGTGCATTGAAGCAAACATTCTTTTTAACCTTGGTATTATCAGAAGATAAAACATAGACTTTACTGCTACACATTTTGCTTGCTGTTAATGGCTCTGCTGCGAACTTGATATCTTGGACTCTTAAAAAACTTGCATTCCTCCAACAATGCATCTTGAGTACTAAACTCGTTATCATAAAACAACATGCAACCACTAATATAACAATCAATCTTTCTTACTTTTAAATTCAACTTCGACACCCACTTTTTTGCATCATAAAAACTTTTTGGCAAGTTGTCTTTCGTTGAGGTGGAGTCCAACATCATTTTTGTGAAATGTTCCAAACACTGATCATGAACATTCCAATTTGACTTGGCGGCCAATAATCTCACACACATTGATAACTTTGAGTCTGACGATCCCTCAAACAACAACGTATTCATCTCATTCAACAACTGATAAAATCTCTACGATTCCTCATTTGGCAACTCTTCCCCGTCAAAATCTTCAGGTTGATCATATGTCACGTTCACCCTAAAAGCATCCTCAGCCATCTCACTAATCAGATTAAAGTTTTCCTCATATTCCATAGGCGGCCGACTACCTGAAGCATGTGTGTTGCTAGTCTCTAGTACGTTACTCGGCAGTTCTTCACTATTATACGTCCAAACCCAATAATTTTCAATGAAACCCCTTCTATGCAAATGACGTGCTACTTCCTCCGGGTCACTAATTATTGGTCTACATTCATATTTAAGATAGGGACACCTAACTCCTCCTTCTCTTCGACAATATTCCTGAATAAACACTCACGTGATAAACTCATTAACTCCTTCTATGAAATAGAATTTAAGTGCACGTCTTCCTGAATACAATCTATCGTACATCCAACTACGATCATACCGATAATATTCCATACTGCACATTTATACAATCATTATCTTTTTAATTACATTTATGATTTTAATATATCAATAAATTTTATATTATTTAATATATAATATACTCTCACATAATATGGTAACTATAAATAAACATTAACCATAAATATTTAATATATAAACAAATGATTTTATTTACATTTATTAATTATAAAGATATTAAGCATAAAAAATTTGTTTTTATTTTAACTAAACATTTTTAAGAAACATATTAAATATATTAACCATAAAAAATTTGTTTTTTAACTAAACATTTAATAAACATATAATAATTAATGTTTTTTATAAATAACTATTATATATAATAAACATATTACATAATATATAATTATCATATATTCTATGATTTTAAATGTTATGTTTAAAAAATATTATTTCACACAATTTTATTTTTAAATTTTATAACTCTATTTTTGGTTATTATATATATTAATTTATAATATTTTTTTTATTTTTATTTTAATTTAAAAATAAAAAACTTAATATATTTGGTTTATATATAACATATATTATTTTAGGAGACAAAAAATATTTTACAAAAATTTTAGTAAAAAAAATTAAACAACTAAAATATCTCTTCTTCAATCTCCTTCAATTTTTGTCAATATTGCTCAATCTACTACAAATGAATCTCTTCAATATTGCTTAATTTTTGACAAAAAAAATCATAACCAAATCAGAATCATTATAAAGATTAAATGCAATTATTAAATAAAATTGAAAAATATGAAAGAACAAAAAATTATATCTAATACAAAAATTTAGAATTGGAAGATTAATGAGGAGTGAGAGATGAAGGAAGAACTAGCTTGGAAAGGGAATGGAAGAAGAAGATTGCAGAATCAAAATAAATATTATGAGATGCGTGTATCTGTGAATAATGAATTGTACAAGTATATATAGATATCAACGACGTCAATATCACGTCACAACTTTGCCACGTGATATTCACGTCGCAACCCACAACGGTCAAATACATAACTATCCAATCAGTGACGTGGTTATCACGTTACAACTTTGCCACATGATAATGATTATCGCAACACCCAACGATCAGAAACAATTATTACACAACGTGTGGCCCATCAGTTCAAAGTCAAACATTGTTTCTCTTAAATATTTGCGACGTGATTTCCACGTCGCAAACAATTGTATAAAATTTTCAAACTTCCCTCTTTAAGAGCGTCAATATTTTTTGACAACTATTATATTTAACATAAAAAAAAAGTAGTGACGTGATTATCACGTCGCAACATACAATTCTTTGCTACGTGATAATCACGCCACAAAAACACTTCGCAGAAGAGGTTATTTTTTTGTAAGTGTATCCACTCTTTTATCAATAATATTTCAATCTTCAATCATCTTTCTAGATAGCAAAAATCTATCTAGTCTACTCATTTTCGCCCGGTTTCCTTTGAGCCACATGAATCTTCCCCTACACATAGAACATCAACCACTTACATATCCTCGGTAAACTCTCTAAACGCTTCCATATCTCTTATACTATGATTTTCCCTTACTCCTAATATTTCCTCTCTACAACAAACATCATTGAAATGACCTCCCAAACAACAATCTTCATTAATACCGTTATGCTTCCTCTCAATCAATGTACTCTATATTACTCTGTACATTACTCTCCTATCGGTAGCGTTGCAATATGCATCCACGTTAACAAAGTTATAGACCCCACCCTTCCAGTTTATGTTAATCCCCACAAAGCCCAGACCTATGAAACTGAAGTTAAGGGCAAGGGAATTTTTATTCCACAAAATGACCATACCACCGGAAACACCCCTGGAGTTACACGCCGTCCATTCAACCTCCGGATTTCCCCAAAAATACAAAGCCAAAGAGACCTCAAATTGAGAAATTTTGCTTTTCTGAAGAAAGCACAATCAATATTTTCTGACTGAATTAAATAACTTATCCTCCTCCTTTTTGAAGATAAAACGCCTCTCTGATATGGCAACTTCGATATATCTGCCCTCTTTTCTAACATTCCTTTGTTATCTCTAACTTCCATCGCCTCTACAAGCTTCATGCTAACACTTTTATCTTCTCTAATAATAACACCCAATTTCGAAATAACATCCCATAGTTTCTTCCCCACTTCAGAGTTACTATTATTAAGCAATCTATTATTACATCTCAATACTTCTGAATCAGTCAAAGAGTTATCACTTTCCTTGTTACGATCTGAAGCAACGCCTAGAGAACTGTTTCTTCTATCGTTAATACGCGCTGAACCTGAGGCCGATTTACTGTTCTTTTTTCTTTCCTTTCTGGGAGCAATGCATGCATAATAGGATGGGTTGAAATTCACCCTTTTCCCCAAACCTTTAACCTGTTTAATTTTCCTCTTTTTGGGCTTCGATTTCTTTACTTTCCTACAAGGCTCATCAAAAGTTAATGGGCTTTTTGTTGCTTCTAGAAAAAATATTCAACCCATTAATATTCATTCTCTCCTTTAAACCTCCTTCGGGCCCACCTTCATTAATACTAGAAACAACTTGTAAAACTCTCTCTCCTGATTCACCTACAAAACTCCTTTCGTCAGATGTATCCGTCTCTATTGGTGTGTCGGCTAATTTTATCAGGAAGAACATAGTTAGCCTTTTGAAAAGGTGGTCCTACAGAAACCTTAATTTGTGAAACATCCTGAGAGTCTACCCATAGATCTGTGCCAGATGTCTCATTAACCTCATTGGCTCCTTCATCTGTCTCTTTCTCCTTCCTTAGGTCATTAATGTTACTGCACTCTACCTCTACCTCGTAATCTTCCCATAATTCAGCCCTAATAACCTCCTAATCGAAGCTGGTTTTCCAAATAGATGTTGAAAATTTTGAATCTTCATCAACTTCCTTCCTTTTGGTCGTGTGGATAATCGGAAAAAGCATCTCTTCTACCATGGAAATGGAAAAAGAGATACCATCAATGGTAACATAAAACTTCTCATTGATTACATCTGCACATCTTGTACGAATACAAATTCTAGTTGTGTCCATCCTTAATTTAGACGTATCTAACATCTATTACAAAAAATGTATCTAACATCAGACACGTGTTTACAGTGATTTCTGGTAAACAACCGCTAGTCCTCCAAACTATCAAATAAACTTAATGACTGTTATTTAATCTCTCTGGTAACTTGCACGATCGACTAGATTGATCCTAGGATGTATTGGTCATTTGGATAACTCTCATTATAGAACTGATATTCATGGTTGGTATTTAGAATGTTGTGTAGGTGTTTAACTTACTTCGATTACTCTATTAAAGATCTAATAACATGATCAAGTAAATGCGCGCGAAACTAAATTGCATGAATAAAGTTCAATTGTAAAGACATATAAAAACTGCAGAAAAGACAAGTAAATGACTTTGAAGCATAAAAACATGTAATGTAAAAGATTCTCTGGAATGTAAAAGATTTGAAATATGAAGAAAGCGTTTTAATGCAAGAAATCAGTAAAATGACTTTAAATGAAAAAGGTATTCGAATGATAAAAGCATGAAAATAAAGGCATGAAATATATAGAAGTTTCTGAAAGTAAAGGATTTGAAATGGGAAGAAAACATTTAAATGTAAGACATCAGTAAAAGACTTCGAATGAAAATACTTTAATGCAAAGGCTTTTGAATAATATTGACATGAAGATAGAGGAAAATACTAGAAATGATAAAGAGTTTTATTAAATCATAAACACTTGGTGTTATCATACGTACATTGCTCGTGCATTCGTTTCCCTAGCCATGTGGTATTTTAAATGTTTACTGAGTTTTTTGTACAATAGATATGACACCCGAAATCCTAATGCTAAGACTTCTATTTATACTACTTCGACCATAACGGTCTTGCTATAAGATTCTGCCACGTTCAGAACATGCAAAGCAATGCCCTTCTCTCGCTTCCACGCGTCTTCAAATGCTCCAGCGCATAGATTTTGAATTTCGAACATCCCGCTTGCATTTGAATTTCAAATGTTTTGGCACTTCTTCGCTTCGAACGCATTTCTTGGACACAACTTTGTTACCATTTCGAGACTTCTTTGAATATATTCCCATAACTGTCACTCGAAGCTCAAAGTTTTGACATGCCCATTCGAAGCATTGCTTCTACCATTTCGAAACATGACATCTTCTTTATTCCAATCGAAACGTCCAATTTGCTTTGCTTCTAATAATATCATCAAAATCTTCAGCCAACAAAATGCCCCTTTAAAATATGTATTTTGATTCCTTTGAGAAATACCTATTTTAAACATATACGCAAGATTTTGATGCGACCTTTGAATCATCGTAACATTTATTGCATATGACTCCAGTCACGTCAATCATGACGCTTTTCAGATTCCTTAACCGCCTTGAACCATTTCACAGCACGGTGCAGTTACAAAACAATGATTATTTATTTAATCACGCCAATTACCAATATTAACTTTACGCCACCTCCTTCTCAAACCAACCCACGACTACCACGTATCACAATCTTACTCAGTGGATGTTTAAACTTCCACACTATAAAAACCCATCAACTTAGTCTTTTTCTTTTCTTCCCACATTCTGAATCTTTTCTTCCTCTCTTCTCACCGAAACCCTAAACTTCCAACATTCTTCCAACAATGTCTTCTTCAACTTCATCTCAACTAAAAAAGGCTTCCAAAAAGAAAGGAAAGAACACAGGAACCATAATGGAAATCAAGGTTGGCACCTTCCAAGGCCAATCTGTTATTATTCCTCAGATGATCTCAAAAGAGAAGGAAATGCTTTACGCATCATAGGTACTAATTCCTACTAATGCCGCTGGCAAGAGGTTAGCTTTAATGGGCCCTCTTACAGTCTTTGAAATCTTAAAAGACACCAGAAAATTTTCCCCTGTTTGTTATAATTTTAAACCTCTGTTTAATAAAATGGATAACCCTAAGACAGTAGAGTCTTCTGATTCGACCACCGTGGAAAATCCAATCATTCCCCCTAAGGACCCTTTTGTGCTAGATTATGTGAAGAGTAACTTCAAACCATTTCGATCTTGCCCCACCTCCGACACAACTTATCACAACTGGTTTACTAAAGTAGAAGCTAAGAAATCCCAGCAATGGGAAGAATTAGGCATTTACAACTTGATTAAACTATCGAAACCAGGCTTTACCTACAGCCACCCATTATTATTCGCGTCCTTATACTTCTGGGACAGTACTTACAATACTTTCCATCTCCCTGGTGGAATGATTACACCCACCTTTTTTTGACATAACAGCCATTACTGGGTTATCACCAATAGGAGAAACCTACATTCCTGACAATGAAGAGCATTCGAGTATTATTGACTTCGAAGTCAAGCTAGCCAGTTTTTCAAAGTTCATCAGCCACTATCACACTGAAGGAGACAATGTGTCAGATGTAGAACACATTGCTTTCCTTACCTTATGGTTATCAAGGTATGTCTTTTGCAGCAGATCCCTACAGGTAGCCAGTAGGTTTATTCCTCTAGCTAGAGATTTGCATGAGAATCGGAGGGTGTGTTTAAGCGAACTGCTACTAGTTGATCTTTACGAAAGTCTAAGATCAGCTGTGTCGAGTTTGAAATCTCACACTTCCAAAAACATCCTGATAGTTGGCCCTTTCTGGTTACTCCAGTTATGGCTCAATGCCATGTTCGAACCTTCACTATCAACTGCCAACATTATTGTTGAACAGGACCCAAAAAAAGCGGATAGAATCATCGAAGGCACTAGGCTGCGAAGACTTACCCCAAACGATGATAAGGATGACTTCAAAGTTCTCTTCTCCAAATACATCATGATTTTCTCCAAGAGGCATAAATTCGAAGAGACCATGGCCCCTTTGCCTCAAGGACTCATGGGCCATTTTGGTTTACTATGGCTCTCTCAGAAGCAGTCAAAAGCAAAGAAATTCAAGATGTATGGAAAGCCTTTTTGCTTCCCAGACTAATCTCCTCACGAATTACTCCTGCTAAGAATCAAATCCTCCTTTTTGCTTATCAGCCCAACTTCGTTTCGAGACAATTTGGCTTGTGCCAACTAATCCCTGAACCCCTATTCCAAACAGAAAGTGCCATCACCTCTGGGCGAACCTTCAAGGCAAGAGAAGCCAAACTACAACAGGAACAATACCAAGGCTTTGCCCACTTTGAACTAATATCTTTCAAACCTACACACCTTACAGTAAAGGGTTTTCTGGAATGGTGGACAAAGTTCTATCATTCTTATATGTTCGATACCCTCACTATTCAGCAGAAACTAACTGATGCGTTCGATGTGCAGGTACAATCCAAGAAAGGTATGTTCACTCATGCCAAAGAGATTAGGGCTTTTCAAAATTATTTCGAAACTACTTATGATCCCACACACTTGGAATCCACTGTGCATCAAGCTGCTAAGACCTTGAAGGAAAAATTTACAGAGAAAATTTCTAAGCTCAAACTTCCTTCAGGGTTGTCACCTGAGGATAGGTATAGGTTGGCATTCGAAATGCATCCACCTAAATTTCCTAGATTACCTACCTCAGAACTGGCTCTGGCTTGGTTTCCCTCCATACCCTTGGTGGTTCACTTGCAAAGAAATGTTCAAATATCTTCATAAGAAACCAAAGCCATCTGAGACTGTGACATGGGCTCGACATTGGCTCCACGATTTCCCAGGACATCTTCGCTATGACCTTTCTGCCATATCGATTACATCTGATCAAGGCGCAGGTGCGAATGCTTGGGAAAATCCCAAATGTTTCTCAATTTCTACATTTTAACTTTTGCCTTAATTGTTTCGATTTTCATCCATCAGGATAAAGACTGCTGCTTCAAAGTCGAAAGAAGGAAGCGCCTCTCAGGCATCTGTCGAAACCATTGATAATGTGACTCTATCCAAACCAACAACAACTGCTGCAACAACAACAACACCAGTGACAACCACTGCTCCAACTCCACAGGTAATCAACTAGCCTTGATATTTCGAATCCACTAATGTCTCATAATCTGGATCTAACTTATGTTTAAATTTTTTCAGACCAATAAACTCCCACCAACAACTCCAAAGAAAAGAAAAACAAATACTACTGGGAAGGATCCCAATGTTGGAGGGGGTTCACCAACTGCTTCAAAGAAGAAACAAAAGAAGGAAATTTCCAAAAGTACTGCACCAACTAGTGTCTCTGGACTCGATTCCAGGGATGCTGCTCCCTCACCTAAATCCAAAATTCCATCTTCGACCTCCAACGTAATGTTGGAACGCATAGCTAGCAACCTCTCTTCTGAGAGTCCACAGGTAGATTGAACTTTAAATCTTTGACAAAATAATTATTCATTACCTTGGTGCATGATTTTAATATTCTTTTGCCTCTGTAGGACATTTTGAATCCAGCTCTTACCACTTCGACTTCACCATCAAAAACTGCTGCTCCGATCAATTCTTCTCCTCAAGGGGATTCCAGCAACCTGGTGCAGAACAAAGGGTCCTCCAATATGGCGGTTCTGGCTGGGGCTTCAGAGCAGCAAGATGACCAGAGTACTTCTCCCCCTCTGAAAGAAACAAATGAAGCAACGCTTCATGAATCTGCAGAGACTTTACAAAGAACTTCTCTTCAAAAGTCCCCTCTTGAAACCCTTCAAGAGGATCCAAAGGACATTAACACTGAAGGAGAGAAAGCTAATTCTGATCAAAGAAACGAAGAATCTGCAGAGGAAGGCTCTGAGGAAGAAGATGCCAATGATGGTTCGACTGCTGGGACAGAGTCAGATGCAAATAGCAGCGAGAACGAAGATATCGAAGTGGTGGATTTGGATGATAATGAAGAAGACAATGAGCATGAAACGAATGAAGGTGACGGTGACGCGACTAA